CGATTGCAACACCAAAGTTTTTTTAGTTTTATTTTCCTTTTTGAAATTCTAGTTAAGCTTTGTACTTCCCCATAAACCTATATAGATTTTTGAAACTGCATATTGTTTTTCAGATGTTATTTGGAGTGACCTTAGTACCTTCTGCCTTCCTTTTGATGGAATGCTGCTGTTTCATTTAAGAATGACTGAAGAACATCTTCTGCATTACTAATAGCTTCATTAATTTCTTCCAACTGCTGATGCTGTTGAAGGCACTCAAGGTTCAAGGTTTCTCTTCTTTGGAATGCTTCTGCCAGTTCTGGGCATGCCTCTCCATCTGCCTCTTTAATGGTCTTGTCTAAAACAAGAGCTTCATTTTCAACAATTTCTAATGCCTGCTTTCCAAGACCAAGAGATAGATGGAGGGGCATGCATGACACAGACTCAATGACAGGTCCAGATGCTTGGAAGATTGGTTTGGACTCACAGTTATGACATCGGTTTGCTTTAGCTTTGACTGAACCACCATTTACAAAATCTTCGTTATCGGATGACATTGATTCAAAGCTGCGAGGAGAAAACTGTTTTATGCGATTGCCATTGGAGGTACTATTCAAAATCCAGGGTGTGTGTGGCTTGCCCTTCTCGAGATCTTTAATTGTGGCATGACAGTAGTTGCAGAAGTACGTGCCATTTGGACCTGTTAGACCTAAAAGCCTTGCAATAAATTCCCAGTCTCCTCCCAAACTCAGCCAGCATTTAGTAATACAGCACTCCATTCTTGTACCATCAGAACTCTGCAAAGTGGATGTTTCACACGTTGAACCAGTTATTTTTTTGCAATAGAAACAGTGTTCACTACAATGGTCACTCTGGGGATTTTGGATAAGTTGCTGGAGCTCCATTGGCCAATTTTGCATCCCTTTGATTTCAAAAACTTGTTTCTCATTTGCTTTGGTACAGGTACTTGCACATTTTGGTAGATCCACCTTTAAGTTCAGTTCTGATACATTAGCCAAGACTTTTTGTGTCGCCTCAATGATTGGACCAAAAACCTCTTTTATGCACTCGTAATTGTCTTTGTCCCCTTCAAAAATTGCTAAAAGGCGAGCAGTATGAACCGAGTGTTGCTCCCTGCAGTTGAGAAGTTGCAATAACAATTTGGTGGATTTTCCTCCCTTGTCACCGGAGAGAAGTGCCCATAAAACATTTTCAGGAATGTTGCTTTTCTTCATAAGGAGACCACTTTCATTCAGTTGAGCCACAGTTTTGGTAATTACATCAGAGATGTTTGTCACTCGAACAAAGGACACTTTCTTCCCAGAAGAACTTTCAAAACTTCCACATTCATATTGAAATTCCATGGACTTCAAGTGGCTGCGAATTTTCCTCTCTGAACCAAATATGTCATATCCTACAGATTAATGAAAGAGCAGACCTATGAGAGGGTTTATATGCTTAGGTGAATTTATAGAATCAACAGCAATTTGTCAGTTTGGTGTCTTGACAGTGTACCGGATCCCTGGTAAGAAGTCTTAACTATTGTTTCTGTGAAAAAGTGCATATCCAGTTCTAGCCCTTCCACTCCAAAATCTGAACTTGTCCTGAAAATTTGGTGTTATGTCAAGACTATATACCCTGGCTGGTTTTCTTTTTTTCAATTCTCTATACCTGCCTACATGGCATTGTAAAATTGTTAAAGAGAATAATTTAATATACTTATTTCTCCTGGGAGTGAAACGATTTAAAGCAAACATAAGTACATGTATATTGGAAGAGCCCATTTTTTTTTCTACTTTCAGGAAACATATTATTTGTACTGTACTTGTGCTTGTCATTATCTTTTTATATGAGTTTTGTACACTACCTGCATTAGGTTTACCTTGACATCGCACCTATATTAAACAATTAGATTATGAGCTCGAGATTTCTATCGCATGATAGTCAATGGGCCAAAGGCCGAGCCAACTATCACACATAGAAATCGAGAGTGAATACATGTAATCTAATTGTTTTAGTATAAATCTACTAGTTGTTCAAAACTTTATCCAAGTCCTCTTCAGAGACACTCCAAAAATGTCAAGAAGCGGCCGTCATTTTGAAACAAGGGTGCACTGCTATGCTACTCACTCTATCACAGAATATATAGTGAGTAGCATAGCCAATCAGAGAACAGCATTCATGATAGAACACTGGTAGATTTATACTAATAGTTTTTAGGTAGTGTACAATGTAGATAAAGTTACTTTGCTTTTCTCACTTCTGTATTGGCATTGTTGAAATAGCAATGAATGATGTACATGCCTGTTTAAATGATGTTAGATAGATAAAGTGTGTTGTTTGTATACAACTATGCTTACCAAGTGCTTCTTTGAAGGTTCTTTTAATCATTTTCAACATTTCCATGGGCATGTGAGTCTTAAGTTCTGCAACCTAAAAAATGAAAGCTGCTTTTAATTTATTAGAGACATGGCCTTTGTGTATAACAAGTTTTGCTTTTGAAGTCAGTGACTTTTGTCTAGATTCTGCAGGTGATGTATTTTATAAACTGGTTGACAGAACTTTTGATTGTCTCATGCACTAGTGCCATATTGTTATTCTATTTTTTTTATTGATATAATAAATTATTGATTATACATAATGTAAATTTAATCATTGAGAGTGTAGATTTTACCTGGTTCAAAGTGAATGACTGTATGATGTTTACTCCACCTTCCTTAAATGAATTGATGAACTGTTGTTGTTTTCGGCGAATAGAAATGGCTGTCTGGTGAATTACATCATTTTCTGCTGTACTTGTACATGTACTTGGTGATGACAAATTTTCTGCAAGTTTTTCGATGACCTGGCTTCTCTTTTTCAATGTACTGGCAGATGCACTTGAGCTACCTATTTGTGGCTGACTAACTCTAAGTAACTTCATTGGTTTCCCTCTCTCTTGATGGGCATACACAAAGCCGTCTTGACTTTGCCCAGTCTTCTTTTTGAGAATGCTCAAAAATACCTTTTGGAGGTAAACAAATTTTGGATTAACAATCATAATGATTTTATGTAATAAAGACATGTAGCTATATTGGGTTTGTGAGAATTGCTCACTTAACGTTTGATAGCTTTTTTTTTTTGGCTGAAAATATTTTTCAACAGATGGCACAATGCCAAGTCCAATGTTTAGATATTGTGTAGCTTCTGCCTAGATTCACTTTATTGATTTGCTCTTCCTTACATTATCAGCATGATTTCTCACTAAGATTGTATCACTCATTTTTAGATAGCTCCTGTTGAATTTTCAACATTTCCTGTACATGTGTATGATGTCAAACGAGTACATTCTGTCCCATGGGGTAATTCTTTGTTTTGTTGGGGAAGACTGAAGTTGTGTGGTGTGCGGACCGCCGAGGAAACAGTAAGAACCAATATTATCCGTGTTTCCATCAATAAGTTCTCATTTCTGTACATAAAAGCTTCAGAAGCTGTTCATGAATCCCAGTTTGGGGATGTGACGTGGATTTCTTTATCAAACATTTGAGTTAAGGCCTATTTTGATAACATTTCGACTTCGTTTGTTGATAGACAAAATGTCCGCGNAAAAACTTTCTCTATAGCATAGTCGTAAAATTATCTCTTTTTGTCTTGACCTGTCGAGAATCTCAGAGAGTCATCGCTGAGTCTCTTGTCCTTGGAAAGCTATAGTGACACGCGAGTTGGTGATTCCATGTTGGGGTACCTGTGACATGACATTGATAGCCGAGAGAGCATCGGCCACGAGCGTTCCGCCCGGGCAGCTTAAAGACGGCGGTCTGTTCTTTTGTATGGCAGCATGAAAATGTAAAAAACTATGCGCACGCACAAAATGCCAGGCGCGCCTTTTGGCGGGAAATTTGTTAGCGTGACGAATGTTGCAAATAAAATCAAGGGGTTATTTTTAACTTTAAAGCCCATTAATTGTTTTGTTTGGGAAACTTGCGTGGTGAAATGTCTTCACGGAAATGTTACGTTTGTAACAGCAAAACAACTTCCCGTTGGTTCCGTATTTCTGAGGAAATCGTCGAAGATGTACGTAAATGCTTCAACGTCGAAGAAATTGAAAGCCAGGAGGACCTATGTGCTTCGTGTAGACGAAATTTAACTCGGTGGCGTGAATGCCCAACAAACGCCAGCAAATATTTCGTTTCAGTTAATTCAAGAGGACAACCCTGTATTAACAAATCGACAGTAGCTCGGAAAAATCGCAAGACTGCGTTACTGCGAAGCACTTCGCCTTCCCATGAGTTATCGCTTCTTGTGACTTTGCCCGAAGACTTGTTTTTGTTTATCGCTGGGTTTCTCAGCGTGTCAGACGTTTCGAGGCTGCGACAGACTTGCAGCTATGCAAATCAAATTTGCCAGTTCAACATCCTCTGGAAACTCTTGTTAAGACGCGACTTCCCCGAACAGCTAAGTGATCTCGACGAAACAGTTCTTTCCAACTCTTTTCTTTCTTACAAAGTTCTCTTCAAGTCTAAACGCTCGTGGGAAGGTCATCATGCGGCGATTTCCGACCGTGCTAAAGAGCTCGCTTCAAAGGAAATAAAACTTTTGGAGGAAAACCAAGTTGCCCAACATCGCTTAAGCAACCTAAAAGCAAGGCTTCAATCACTCCAGAATGATCAAGATCCAAGAACGCCAGTCACCAAACTACAAGAGCAGGTAAATTAAATTTCATCAGTCTATTGCACGCAGAGCGGCTACAGCATATAAATCACACAACCTTTTAATATTGTACAATTGAACTGAATGATATTGTAATACCCAAGTCCACAGTTGAGACAGATAAGTTGCTGGGGTAAAAATTGGTTTTATAGGTATTTGTGGACAGGATATGCGTCATCGACTTTGTTGCGGATAGCTACCGTCAAATTATTTCAATTCTTACATATACGTTATCTCAAATTTGTGAGAAACTAAAAGAAGGAAGGCATCTGGCCTTGTTACTCCGTTCATTAGACTCTCCATAGAGGGTAATCTGGGTGTCAAGCTTCTGTTAGAAATGCTTGTTTTAAAAGATATGGACGAAGTTTCACGCGCGGACATTTTGTCTATCAACAAACGAAGTCGAAATGTTATCAAAATAGGCCTTAACTCAAATGTTTGATAAAGAAATCCACGTCACATCCCCAAACTGGGATTCATGAACAGCTTCTGAAGCTTTTATGTACAGAAATGAGAACTTATTGATGGAAACACGGATAATATTGGTTCTTACTGTTTCCTCGGCGGTCCGCACACCACACAACTTCAGTCTTCCCCAACAAAACAAAGAATTACCCCATGGGACAGAATGTACTCGTTTGACATCATACACATGTACAGGAAATGTTGAAAATTCAACAGGAGCTATCTAAAAATGAGTGATACAATCTTAGTGAGAAATCATGCTGATAATGTAAGGAAGAGCAAATCAATAAAGTGAATCTAGGCAGAAGCTACACAATATCTAAACATTGGACTTGGCATTGTGCCATCTGTTGAAAAATATTTTCAGCCAAAAAAAAAAAGCTATCAAACGTTAAGTGAGCAATTCTCACAAACCCAATATAGCTACATGTCTTTATTACATAAAATCATTATGATTGTTAATCCAAAATTTGTTTACCTCCAAAAGGTATTTTTGAGCATTCTCAAAAAGAAGACTGGGCAAAGTCAAGACGGCTTTGTGTATGCCCATCAAGAGAGAGGGAAACCAATGAAGTTACTTAGAGTTAGTCAGCCACAAATAGGTAGCTCAAGTGCATCTGCCAGTACATTGAAAAAGAGAAGCCAGGTCATCGAAAAACTTGCAGAAAATTTGTCATCACCAAGTACATGTACAAGTACAGCAGAAAATGATGTAATTCACCAGACAGCCATTTCTATTCGCCGAAAACAACAACAGTTCATCAATTCATTTAAGGAAGGTGGAGTAAACATCATACAGTCATTCACTTTGAACCAGGTAAAATCTACACTCTCAATGATTAAATTTACATTATGTATAATCAATAATTTATTATATCAATAAAAAAAATAGAATAACAATATGGCACTAGTGCATGAGACAATCAAAAGTTCTGTCAACCAGTTTATAAAATACATCACCTGCAGAATCTAGACAAAAGTCACTGACTTCAAAAGCAAAACTTGTTATACACAAAGGCCATGTCTCTAATAAATTAAAAGCAGCTTTCATTTTTTAGGTTGCAGAACTTAAGACTCACATGCCCATGGAAATGTTGAAAATGATTAAAAGAACCTTCAAAGAAGCACTTGGTAAGCATAGTTGTATACAAACAACACACTTTATCTATCTAACATCATTTAAACAGGCATGTACATCATTCATTGCTATTTCAACAATGCCAATACAGAAGTGAGAAAAGCAAAGTAACTTTATCTACATTGTACACTACCTAAAAACTATTAGTATAAATCTACCAGTGTTCTATCATGAATGCTGTTCTCTGATTGGCTATGCTACTCACTATATATTCTGTGATAGAGTGAGTAGCATAGCAGTGCACCCTTGTTTCAAAATGACGGCCGCTTCTTGACATTTTTGGAGTGTCTCTGAAGAGGACTTGGATAAAGTTTTGAACAACTAGTAGATTTATACTAAAACAATTAGATTACATGTATTCACTCTCGATTTCTATGTGTGATAGTTGGCTCGGCCTTTGGCCCATTGACTATCATGCGATAGAAATCTCGAGCTCATAATCTAATTGTTTAATATAGGTGCGATGTCAAGGTAAACCTAATGCAGGTAGTGTACAAAACTCATATAAAAAGATAATGACAAGCACAAGTACAGTACAAATAATATGTTTCCTGAAAGTAGAAAAAAAAATGGGCTCTTCCAATATACATGTACTTATGTTTGCTTTAAATCGTTTCACTCCCAGGAGAAATAAGTATATTAAATTATTCTCTTTAACAATTTTACAATGCCATGTAGGCAGGTATAGAGAATTGAAAAAAAGAAAACCAGCCAGGGTATATAGTCTTGACATAACACCAAATTTTCAGGACAAGTTCAGATTTTGGAGTGGAAGGGCTAGAACTGGATATGCACTTTTTCACAGAAACAATAGTTAAGACTTCTTACCAGGGATCCGGTACACTGTCAAGACACCAAACTGACAAATTGCTGTTGATTCTATAAATTCACCTAAGCATATAAACCCTCTCATAGGTCTGCTCTTTCATTAATCTGTAGGATATGACATATTTGGTTCAGAGAGGAAAATTCGCAGCCACTTGAAGTCCATGGAATTTCAATATGAATGTGGAAGTTTTGAAAGTTCTTCTGGGAAGAAAGTGTCCTTTGTTCGAGTGACAAACATCTCTGATGTAATTACCAAAACTGTGGCTCAACTGAATGAAAGTGGTCTCCTTATGAAGAAAAGCAACATTCCTGAAAATGTTTTATGGGCACTTCTCTCCGGTGACAAGGGAGGAAAATCCACCAAATTGTTATTGCAACTTCTCAACTGCAGGGAGCAACACTCGGTTCATACTGCTCGCCTTTTAGCAATTTTTGAAGGGGACAAAGACAATTACGAGTGCATAAAAGAGGTTTTTGGTCCAATCATTGAGGCGACACAAAAAGTCTTGGCTAATGTATCAGAACTGAACTTAAAGGTGGATCTACCAAAATGTGCAAGTACCTGTACCAAAGCAAATGAGAAACAAGTTTTTGAAATCAAAGGGATGCAAAATTGGCCAATGGAGCTCCAGCAACTTATCCAAAATCCCCAGAGTGACCATTGTAGTGAACACTGTTTCTATTGCAAAAAAATAACTGGTTCAACGTGTGAAACATCCACTTTGCAGAGTTCTGATGGTACAAGAATGGAGTGCTGTATTACTAAATGCTGGCTGAGTTTGGGAGGAGACTGGGAATTTATTGCAAGGCTTTTAGGTCTAACAGGTCCAAATGGCACGTACTTCTGCAACTACTGTCATGCCACAATTAAAGATCTCGAGAAGGGCAAGCCACACACACCCTGGATTTTGAATAGTACCTCCAATGGCAATCGCATAAAACAGTTTTCTCCTCGCAGCTTTGAATCAATGTCATCCGATAACGAAGATTTTGTAAATGGTGGTTCAGTCAAAGCTAAAGCAAACCGATGTCATAACTGTGAGTCCAAACCAATCTTCCAAGCATCTGGACCTGTCATTGAGTCTGTGTCATGCATGCCCCTCCATCTATCTCTTGGTCTTGGAAAGCAGGCATTAGAAATTGTTGAAAATGAAGCTCTTGTTTTAGACAAGACCATTAAAGAGGCAGATGGAGAGGCATGCCCAGAACTGGCAGAAGCATTCCAAAGAAGAGAAACCTTGAACCTTGAGTGCCTTCAACAGCATCAGCAGTTGGAAGAAATTAATGAAGCTATTAGTAATGCAGAAGATGTTCTTCAGTCATTCTTAAATGAAACAGCAGCATTCCATCAAAAGGAAGGCAGAAGGTACTAAGGTCACTCCAAATGATATCTGAAAAACAATATGCAGTTTCAAAAATCTATATAGGTTTATAGGGAAGTACAAAGCTTAACTAG